CTGTTTGCTTGCAATTTTTAGAAGGCTCAGATTATAAAGCAGAAATCTGAATTGTGTTTCGAAACTATTTTACGATTGTTAAAATAAAGTGCTTACAACAATCCGTAAGAAGACAGAACAAAAATTACATCTCTAGAATCACTTTTAACATTATTGAAAAAAAAAGCTATTGCGGAATGAAAACTGAATGGCCATAAATGTACCAGTGATGCTATGTTTTCTCTACTACATGAGGTCTATCAAGCACTAAACAATAATCTTTACATTGCCACTGCTTTTGTGACTATGCCAAAGATTTTGATTGTGTAAATCACGACATTTTAATAAAAAAAACTAAATTTCTACGAAATTCATGGTATTTCTTTGAATTGGTTCCAATCTTGCTTGAGAAATAGGAAACAAATAGTTAGAGCAAATGATACTGACTCTAGTCACAAAAGCATTGTATGTGGAGCACCACAATGTTCAGTACTGAGTCCTCTTCTTTTCCTTATCTTTATAAATGACATCACTAACTTAAAAATCGATACAAAATTTTTTCTTTTTGCTGATAATACCAGTACTACCTGGAGGAACCCTAATATTGTAACCCTTTATACTTTATTATAACTTCTAATCAACTTAAAATATAAACCTGGTCCGACTCTAATTTACTCCCTTTTAACGTGAATAAGACAGTAGCATTATCCTATAAAGGGTCTCCTCAACCCTTGTTTCTTAATAACAGCCAGATCAGTATCGTTGATTCTGTAAAATTTCATGGTATTTTAAATTGTACCTTTATATCAATTTGTTAAGTAAGAAACTAGTCTCAGCCTGCTATGCAATAAGATCTGTATCGAAGGAAATCAATTTAGCATCTTCCAAAATAACATATTTTTCTTTGTTCGAGTCTCATCTTCGATATGGCCTTCAAATGACATCACTAACTTAAAAATATTGAAATTTTTTTCTTTTTGCTGATAATACCAGTACTACCTGGAGGAACCCTAATATTGTAACCCTTTATACTTTATTATAACTTCTAATCAACTTAAAATATAAACCTGATCCGACTCTAATTTACTCCCTTTTAACGTGAATAAGACAGTAGCATTATCCTATAAAGGGTCTCCTCAACCCTTGTTTTTTAATAACAGCCAGATCAGTATCGTTGATTCTGTAAAATTTCATGGTATTTTAAATGGTTCCTTTATATCAATTTGTTAAGTAAGAAACTAGTCTCAGCCTGCTATGCAATAAGATCTGTATCGAAGGAAATCAATTTAGCATCTTCCAAAATAACATATTTTTCTTTATTCAAGTCACATCTTCGATATGGCCTTCCTTTTTGCGGTTCCAGTACAGCTGCCCAGTCTAATATTATTTTTAAATTACAAAAAAGGGCAATACGGCATCTTTTGGCATCAGAAGAATAACACATTGTAGAAGCTAGTTCAAAAAGATTTTAACTCTTCCCTCTATATATTGTAGAAACTGTTTGGTTCATTCGTAAACACCTACGTGTTTTCCACCAAGACCTAATCATGAATACTCCACCAGAAATTTAAGCTTTGATGTGTATTTACCGATCCCGTCCACTGAGTAAGTAAAGAAATCTATATTAGGTTTGTTCGTAGAACGATCAGCAACCGTTGCCAACCATCAGACGCACGCACAGTTAACAGTTAGCGTTCGTAGAAGCACTTCTGACGGTTGGCAATTTTAAGTTTGCTGTTCGCAGTAACAAAGTGATTAATCAGAATTCGGTTTCCAATGGTTGTTAAAATCCCCAACGATTGTCCGGACTGAAAATCAGCGACATGCGCAGAGGTGTTGTTGTTGTATAAATCTATGGATTCTGTCTATTGTCTATACTATAACCACAAAACAAACGTTGGGTTGGTGTCATCGAGCAAAAAGACAATAGAGGGAATGTAAAGGTAGTGGGGGCAAACATATTGTTAGACAGGAAGTACGATCTTTAGAGGCCACATTAAACAAGGAAAGAGAGTCTCTCTCCTTGTTTGACATCAAATTTCGTTGGGTTATGTTATTGTTTGTCCCAAATGTCACATGAAATCTTATTTATATTGAAGTTTTTTAACAATTGTGTCGCATTTTAGACTCTTATCATTAATAATTAATTACAACTTTCTCGTCTAAGACACATTCTGAAAAATATTATATAGCTACTGTTGATAATTGTCGGAAAATTTAAATTTGGCGCATTCGCATTTCCGGATATATCCGCCATCAGAGGCCACTTTTTTGGTCTCCTTTTCATAAGGATTAGATTCCCTCTTTTGTCTTATTGCTCGATGGTTGGTGTACTCTGTGACCATTCTGTGACTAACTGAATTGTAAAGTGAGTTGTTTTTCTGTGTTTTTTTGTTTTCATATTTAGTAGTGTAAATACTAAACCAAACAACGGAGTCTAGTGATTCATCTAGCGTATATTTAGGAAGCGATATCTCCAGTTCAAGCGATAGCGAGGACAATATTTTTGTACCTAAAACAAAAAATAAAAATTATGTTGAAAATACTGTACCATCATACAGTAACCAAGAGTTTTTTGAACATTTTCGAGTGAGCAAATAAGTTGCAAATACCTTAGCAGAAAAATTTAAAAACTCACCACATTTCTCCCATCAAATGGGCGAATTTGGAAAAATAACAGCTCTGCAGTATGTATTGGTTTTTCTGTGGTTTGCAGGGCATGAGGCTGCCTCATATAGAGATGTTTCTGATAGGTTTAACCTATCTCTAAGTTCATTAAGGAAAATTATAGTCCGAATGACTTATTTTTTATCAAATTTGGGTCCTGAAATAATCCAATGGCCAAATTTTCAGGAAAGAATAAACATTGAAAGATGTTTTAGACAAAATGGTTTTCCAGGAGCAATTGGTGCAATTGATGGTTCACATATTAAAATAGATAAGCCATCAGAAGACCCTGATTCATACCTTAACAGGAAACATTTTCACTCAATTCATGTAAGTTCTATTTGGTTTCACAAACATTTCGATAACTTGATACATAGATATGCTATGTCCCTCATACACCATTTGAGAAGATAAGTTTTTCAATCTACAGTACCTTTTTAATTTAGATGCATTATACTATCCTAAATAGATTAAAAAAGTAAAGTTTATCAACGTTTATGGTCTATGTATAGTAGCAACAAAATTCCTAAAATGAACATAAGTAGTATATCTGAGCTTTACGGTATCGATTTGTTTATCTTTAAGTATAACCATTATGTGTATCATAATGTATAGAATATATAACTTTTGAAACTTTTTTTAGCTACAAGTAGTGTGTGATCACAAAAGAAAAATAAGGGAGTATTCATAGGTTACCCTGGATCAGTTCATGATAGCCATGTCTTCAGAGCATCACCTTTAAGTGAAATTTTAGCAGAAAATTGTGGTGAATACTATTTATTAGGAGACAGTGGTTACCCATGCTTAAACCATCTTCTAACACCATATAAAGATTTTGGAAACTTAGGAAGGATGCAAAATAATTTTAATGTTAAATTGTCCCAAAACAGATACGTTATTGAACATTGTTTTGGTATCTTCTTCTTACGGAGCCTTATCCTTAAGGACGTTGGCCATTACATTTGCCCATTTAATCTTATTTGTAGCAGCCGTAAATAGTTCTATGGAGGTCATGTTCGTCCATTGCCGTAGGTTTTTAAGCCAAGAGTTGCGTCTTCTTCCTGGTCTTCTTTTGCTATTGATTTTGCCTTCGGTATACTAAAACAAAAATTCAGGCAATTGTACCATTTACAATTAAGAAAATTTTCTGATTGTGTACATTTCATAAGGGCATGCTGTGTTCTTCATAATATAGCTCTAGAAGACACACTACCTGACAATTTTGAAAATATACCTGACAATGTTGAAAATGAACCAGAAAATGATGAAAATCTACAGGACAACCAAAATGGAATGGCATTTGGAAATAGAGTAGCAAATATGTTGCTAAGAAATTTATAAAACAACTTTTTGTGTGTTTTTACTTTTTTATTTTCATAGGTGTAATAAATGTAATTATGTTTTAATTTTTGTAATACAGATCTTTTTTTAACTTTTCATTGTTTCTTATGTAACACCAAAAATCTAAATAAAAAATCCTCCAACAAAATACAAAACTCTATTGTAATACTTACCTATACTTACATAGTAACTCTTGTCTAGGATAAATGATTAATTAGGTATTTTATCCTAGGAAAATACTTGTTTAGTTTTGTAAAATTAATTTTTAATGTAGTGATATTTATTCTGCACACCATCTGAATAATACTTTATTCTATGTAAGCCCAAAATATGTAACAACAGAACAAGAATTATTAATTCTTAAAAAAGGCTGTTGTTCTTTCAACACACCTTAAAGGATAAAAAATGTTGCTTAACAGCTCACTATTTGTTTAAATTGTTAGGTAAAATCTTTTATACGTTATCTTTGTTCTTTGTTCTTTGTTACATATTCTTGGGTCAACATAGAATCAAGTTTTTTTATATTCACATTGTAGACATAATAAACATCATTATAATGAACAATGTTCCACAGCGATTGTACTTAAAAAATTTAATTTTTAGTATATATGTCATATTATTCCATTAAAACAGTTGTTCACATAATAAGGATTTATTTTAACTTTACAAAATCTTAAAAAATACAAAACAATACTACAATATTACGAGTGTAACAATTTAAAAATTATCAAATTTGAGTTATCCTTTGAACTCAGCTTAAAACGATGTACTTCATACAATACAATATTCAGTATTGTATTATGTGACCTATATGTTTGTAAGCTGAGTACAAGAGTTAACTCAAATTTAATTTTGTTCAAGTTGTTATGCTAATGTATAAATGTTGAAAAAAAAACAAAAATCAAATTTTTATAATAACTCTGTAGTTTTTTTTAACAAATCATTTTTGTTCTTTTATTAATTTATTTCTCTATCTTTTTTCTTCTATATTTTCTTTATGTTGTTGATTTAATAATTTATTTCTTTCTTTTCTCTCTTCTAACTTTTCTTTTTCTAATTTTAAGTGGGCTTCAAAGTTCTCTTTCTCTAAAATAGTTATAACTAAAAAATAAAATATACTAAGAAAACTAATCAAACTAATAAAATCAAATAAACGACTAATAATATTAAACAATAAATGCAAAAAAAGTGAATAAAAAGATTTAACAAACGACAACGACAAATGCAAAATATCAAATTTTAGGTGTTCGTAGAGCACAAAATCACAAACTAATTCCAAACAGTTTCCAACTGAACATGCGTATTGTATTTCAAATCACAAACCGTTTATAATCGCTACTACGAACAAACCTATTATATTCTGCAAATAAATTCTACAACCACTATCTGAAACACCATATTATTCAGTGGAAGAGTTTTTTAACGAGTAACTAAGAAATTACACAAGGTACTTTACTAAGTACTAGTAAAGGTAACTAAGAAATTACTAAGGTACAAGTAACTAGAGTATTTATATATATATATATATATATATATATATATATATATATATATATAGTAAACTCTTAAATATTGGGGAAATCTTGCAGAGTTTACTATTAGACTTATCTGCAAAGATTAAATTTCTTTTCTACCTTTCTTTTACTATCTTTTATTTTGTGATATTGACGATTTTTGTAATTTTAGTAAATCTTAATTGTTATTTTTTTACTTTTAAAAAGTAAAAAAGTTACAAAATTTGTAAGCTTTGTCCATAAAATTGTTCAATTTTCAGTGACAATAAAGCATATTTCTATTTTAGAACCCTACCCTTTCCATAAGGTGTAATGTGTTTTATATATGTTGTTTATGTTTTGTTAAACAATAGTTTATGTTTTCTTACGTTTGTTAATAATATCTTAAATACATATTCCTGAACTTTTAACCTTTTCTGTCTACTTCTATGTCTAACGCGACATAATAATGTTGCCAACTAACAATTAAGCTGGAGTTATACACCATAATTCACTATATTTTTTCAACGTATAAGAGAATAATTTTCAACTGGATAAGAGAATAATTAACACCCTGAACAGGTTAATGTTTAGGGAAGAATTTTTTAAACTTTTTATTGCTTGTGTATTATTTTAGTTTAAATAAAATATTATATTAAGTACTTTACAATTATATTTACCCCATCTTTATTCTTTTGTGTAAATCAATTTTTATAAATATATTTCTATACACTGAAAACTTAAATTTTTCATCGTTCGTTGTTTCTCACTTATTCGAAATATTTTATATGTTTACGATATTAAAAATAAAAGCAATCAAACCAATAGTCATTATTTATTCTAATGAAAAAACATTTTCAAATACCTTTCAATTATTGGAAGGTACGCCGCTGACTCAACGGGAAATGTCACAGTCTATCACCTCGCCTCTTTTCCCGCGCCTATAAACTTTTTGACTTCAAATTTAGATGAACAGAGTGTAGGACATGCCCAGTCCATCTTTATTTATACGTCCATGGGTAAAACACTAAACCATATATATATATATATATATATATATATATATATATATATATATATATATATATATATATATATATATATATACCTATATATGAGGCGGTGAAAGGAAAAGTGGTGTAAGCCACTTTTTTTATAGAATAGAGATAATTGCATATTCAAAATCTCTATATTTAAATCTATCAGACGCAATAGTGGTGTAAGTCATAAGTCTTCCATTTGCTCACAGATAGCAGCACAAACTTGACAGTCAAACAAAATCTCTGTTGTAGTAGAGGGAATAGTGGTGCAAGTCAGACTTACACCACTATTCCGTCATTCCTATGACAGTTGTTTAGTATTTTGTAGTTGTGATTTTTCAATACAATGGATAAAGACAGTTTAAGTGATGTGAGTGTTGAGCCTAGTATTTTCGCTTACTCAGGTGATGAGGAGTGGGTACCTTCTGATTCTCAACAAGAAAGTATTGGTAAGTTATACTTGTGTATTATATATTTATTTGTATAAAATCAAAACTAACCTCAAAATCTTGAATTCTCTACACTAACAATAAATAAACTCGTATAAATAGAACAACGTTTTTGAGTGTTATTTTAATAAAGTTGGTTTGTTTCAGACTGTGAATCAAATGAGAAAGTCCCTCTGCAAGACCATGAAAGCGAAAGTATTCGAGAAGTAGAAGTTCAGCAACCCAAGAGAGCACGAAAACGACAGAGGCATGAAAATAAAAAAGAAAAAATAAAGCGACTTCGCAACTCAGGTTGTGAGTATAAGACAACAAAAGGAAAAGTAGTGGCAGGTAAAACTTTTTCAAACAACTGTTTTTGCAATAAAAAATGTTTTGAAACTATGTCATGTGAAGACAGAAAAAAAGCATTTGATTCATTCTGGAAATTGAAATCATTTACAGCACAGAATGCTTTTATTTGTGGTTTGATCAAACAAAAGAAACCTGAAATAAAACGTCCTAGGGATCAGTCACCACCTGGTAAGACAGTGTCTAACCAATATTTCATTCAAAACAAGGCGAAACCACGAAAGTATGTAAAAAATACTTTCTTGGAACCTTTCAGATATCTGATGGCCGAATGTCACGGGCCATTAATAAGATAAAACAAGGGGAACCACCTGGTTCAGATAATCGAGGCCATGGTATACCAACTAATAAAATATCTGAAGAACGTATGAACTGTGTCCGGAAACATATTCAAAATTTTCCATCTTACCAATCGCACTACACAAGGAATAAGAATCCCAATCGTAGGTATCTATCTTCTGACCTTAATGTTACCCTGCTGTATCGTTTGTACAGTGAGTACTGTCAGGAACAAGTTATTGTCCCCGTTTCCAGTGATATTTATCGCCGTACATTCAATAATGAGTACAGCCTTCATTTTCATGTACCACAAAAAGATACGTGCTCTAAGTGTGATGCTTACAAATTAAAAAAAGCTGCAACAACAGATGCTAATGAGATAAAACAGATTGAAATTGAGCACGAACTCCATCTTAGGAAGACCGAGCTGGCACGTACTTCTATGAAAAAGGATACAGAAAAGGCCCAGACTGACGATTCTTACTATGCATTCACGTTTGACTTAGAGAAAGCCCTACCTTTCCCAAAACTAACCACATCTATCGCATACTATAAACGTAATATGTACATTTACAATTTGGGCTGCCATGAGCTATCATCTGGCTTAGGCTACATGTATGGATGGGATGAAACAACAGCTTCAAGGATCTCAGGAAATCAGTGCTTGTGTTACAAAGCACATAGAATTACGTGCAGCAAATTCAAAGCATGTTGTATTGTACAGTGACAGCTGCACCGGCCAAAATAGAAACTGGAATTTTGCCTTGGCCTTGTTACGATTAGTTCAAAGTGAAAACAATACTATCGAAATAATTGATCACAAGTTTATGATAAGCGGACACTCTTACTTACCAAACGACTCCGACTTTGGTTCAATTGAAACTCTAAAGACAAACTGATTTATGTGCCTGAAGATTGGTTTTCAGTCATAGTTCGGTGTAGAAAGAAAAAAGCTTTCATTTTCACAAAAATGCTTAAAGAAGACTTTAAAGATCTGAAAAATCACACTAAATCAATTTCAAAAAGAAAAACCAATACTGATAACCAACCAGTGTCATGGTTAAAAATGCAGTGGATTAGAGTCAAAAAAGATGAGCCATTTTCACTGTTCTATAAAGAAACATTAAATGAAGATTTTTCCTTTTCACAAATTAATATCCTTCAAAGCAAGCAGAAGGGAAGACCAACATTGTTGAAAAATCTTCAACTGGATTGCCTGCACACAGCACCTCGACCAGTACTGCCAGCTAAAAAACGGGATATGTGTGATTTACTATCATACATTCCTCCAGTCCACCATTCTTATTTTAGAAATGTTATATCATCTGATGAAGTCAATGACGAAGCTGGACCACTTCTTGATGTAGAAGAAAACAATGACTAATAAACTAGTGAATTTATATTTGATTTTCTAATGTAAAAACAATAAACATGTTTTGCTTTCTTTACATTCTCTTTAACCTCAAGTGGTGTAAGTCATTTCAACCCTTAAAAACTACCCTTAACATAGTTTTATTTTTACAAAAATGTTGATTTTGTGCGGAAGCAAAGCGGTCAGTTTTGGTCAGAACTCATACGCAGCCACGTCAATCAATTCAAAGTGACGGAATTGGAGCAATAAAATAATCTGGGACGAATAAAATAATATCTAATTCAATAATCATATCTCAGTAATAAAAATAATAATAAGTAAATTTTTAAAAACAAGAGTCATTTATAAGAGTTCCACATAAAAAGGAAGATTTTTTTTGGCGTACTGCGGCTCCATGTAAGTAAATAATTTCATACGTATTATCTCTTTATCATATAATCAAATTTATCATTGCAGTTAAGTATTTCTTTAGAGATTTATTTTTGAGTTCCGAAATAATTTAAATATAAAATTCCCTTGATTTACTTGCAAAGAACAGAAGGTCATTTTTTATATAGTCAAACTTAAATTCTGTTTTAGTCCATGTCGTTATCATTAAGTTTTTTTGGTTCTTTTTTTTTTCTCTAACTTTTTTGGTGGAATATACAAGGTTTCTACAGCCTTCTGTGTTCTGCGCGTGTTCATTTCATGGCGCAAGCCTGTCATGTCTACGAAATCAACTTCGGAAATTTTTACATTTTGGACCTAACCTAATGTCAAAGAATATAGTGCTAATGTTTTGTTTTGGTGCAGTCAATCCATGCTGCTACACCTATTAAATTACATTTATTAAATTACATAACTCTTTTAGATTCCGTCACTTCACTTGAGGATATTCTCTTAAGAATATTCCCTCAAGAACTAGTAACAAAATTTCTTAAATGGTTAGCAACTCTCCTGGATTTTGCCGTCACTCCAAATAGACCAGTGACTGGTTTTATGCCCAGACTCACCTGGGATTTGTCCTTTACAGCAACAAACTGGTTTAGCCGTGCCAAGAGGAGTTTTTCCTATGGACTTATAGTGCTGTAAAGATAAGTTGTTTGACTGTGTAATTTTTTTGTTA